CAGGCATTCTCTTGCTCCCTTTGGGCATCTGCTAAGGGTGCTTAAATATCACAGGATCCAAAACTAGTTAAAGTTTGGCTCTAGTAAGTAAACACCAGTACAAATTAAAGGCACACACCCATACTGATAGTGTGTGAATACTTCATCAATATGGGGAAGTTATTCTACTTTTACTCAGTTACTGCAACTATATCTACATGCACCATATTCTTAAAACATTCAACAGTCTGGGTTGAAATAATAAAGGAATCAGATAAGGCTGAAAGAGTCACACAGAGTGACTGCTCTGTTCTGCGTTAGCACCAGTGAGAAAAAAGCAAGAGAAACAATTACTCTGGGAAATCAGAGGGTTACAAAAAAAAAAAGGAAAAGAAGCTGAAACAAGCCTTACTGACAAACAGGCGTTCGGCACAAGGTCTGCTGAAAGTCATTTCCTTCAGCTGTGAGACAGGTTAACCACAGCCACAGCACCGCATGCAGAAATTTGGCTTTTTGTGTGTGTGTGTGTTATGTGTGCATTTACTGTATGTGTGGCTAGAGGACAAGACTGAACTCACTGTAGAGAACAAGTCAAAACAGCCCAGCCTGCTGATGACACAGTACACCTCAGGAAGGCGAGGTCCTTTCCCAGTTGGCTGTAAGAGAAAAAGAATAAACTCTTTACCAGAAGAGACCCATTCAGAGATATCCTTAAAAAAAATAATAACTATAAATACACTTGAAGGAAGGGCTTAGCAAGGTAGCCCTACACCCAGTGCTGTCCAAAAGTCTGGAGTGACACCTTTTTTCTTTATATTTTACTTCCAAGGAAACACATTTTCTTGGAATTTTTTAAAGTGGTCTTGAGCAATATGGTAAATGGCCTGCATTTGTATAGCGCTTTTCTAGTCCTTAAGGACCCCAGAGCGCTTTACACTACATTCAGTCATTCACCCATTCACACACACATTCACACATAGTTCTCGAGGGTTTCTTGGCTGTTTTGAGCCCAGTCCTTGTACCTGATGATCCTCACAGGAATATTTGTTTTTGCTTGTTAAGACACTTAACACTGACCTATGAATCATTCATGCATAAACAAGGAACCTAAACTCGAGGGATGCACCAGTGTTGTGTCCTCACATCATAGAAAACAAAGAATCAACTTTAGACATTTTGTTACTTGCAGCCTGTCACAAAAACACAAAAACACATCATTTGTTCACATTTCTTTAGTTCATTCTATTAAAGAAAACGCCAAAAATAACTAAATTTAAAAAGCAGCCGTGGCTCTGTCATGGTTTTGGGCTGCACTTCAGCCAGCGGTGTTGCTGGAATTAATTACAAAAGTACAGAAAAGTACCATCAGATTTTAATCTGTCAAGCAATGATCCTAAACACGCTGCATACCTGGATAGAAAAACACACGACTGAACATAATCAGTCACGATTGGCCTCCCCTGAGTAAGAACCTCTACGTTATTGAAGAGTAATCCAACAAGGGGCGATTCAAGACTTCCAAACACTACTGTATATAATTACAAATACATAAAGGGACCATAAAACTACACGGATGATAACGTGAAGATAAGTTGCTTAAATGTTGTATGTGAAGTCTTTGACTCAATCTGTCATCTGAGGTGAAAGTCTTTCATGCGGATAAACATAGGTGGTTTATCTGCTCTGTCTGATCCTATCTGCTGTCCTCTGTGCGCTCAAATAGAAACACCGGGGGCACAGACACTTAAAAACACGGACACAAATGAACACAGGCCACACAGACGAATCCACTTGTCCATATTAGGAATACAATTTTCTCCTCTAGTTTCTCCTCTGCCTTTCCAAATGGATGATTAAATCAACTATGTGGAGCTTGATTCAAGTCCTCAGGAATGCTCGGCTGCTGCCAACTGCTGGACAGACAGCGGGGAGGAAACAAAGTTACTGGAGGAGAGCAGCTCACCTCTCTTCCCCATCTCCCTATCTGTCTCTGTCAACCGTCATTAAAATCTGCTTCCATCAAAAAGAATCTCAGATCAACAAAGCGGATGATGCATAAGAAAACACTTTGCTGATCTAAAATTTACCAAGAAATCTGTTAAACAGCACACACGCTCCTGGTAAGTGAGACCGCGCATGCTGCGTGCACGCTTTTTTTTTCTTTTGTTTTTAAAGGCAAACGGCAAACAAAAATCGCCAGCACATTAGCAGAATCCCACACAGTCATGCTCTCCACCCGCAAGCTAAATGGGAGGCTCAACGAAACACTTCAAAGCATTCGCCAGCCTAATTACGGAGAGGAAATGCTCCAGAATGACAATGTTTGGATTTTTCATGGTTTCTTTTTGTCTTGCCTCGCCCGAGAAACCGTTGTTAAATTCAATGAGTCAGTCCTAACTGGGTTTTTATCTTCAATTATTATATTTTACAACATTTTCATGGGCTTTTTATGACTGCGTTCTATCTTTTAAGGCAATATTTCTTCCCAAGTGTATTCAATTTAAAATGCAACAGAGCTACACATTTCATTAAACATATACTTATTCAATTACTGCATTTTGTAGCCACTGAAATCTCACCTGTGTAGTTTGGGTGTTTGTTGCTCTGCTAACACTATTTAAAGTATTTACTGGGCACATGCACGCACGCTGCTCAGCTGCTGTAACAGTAAGTGCGATAATCTTTGTCCGCATCTATTTTTTCAAGCGTTTCACACCCAGTTTCGTTTTTCATGTTTTATTTTTGACATTATTATTCTTAGCCATTTCTTTCCTTTTCGGACAAAGCACACGGTCACATCAGCAGCGCCACAGGAAAACTACACCGAGTGTTCAAATAAAAGCGTCTGTCACAACAAACAGGGGCTCAGCGGGGTGCGAACAGGGAGATGAACAGCTGCTTACCAGCAGGCGCCTGCAGTACCCAAACCTCCTGCTGCCGTCCTCCCCAGTCAGCATGAAGGAGAAGGTCTCGCTGAGGCCAAAAACAAATATATGCACATGAGGAGCAACGCAAAGACACAGAGTCGTGAACACAACGGCAGATACTTGTGATAAAACAGAGCATGATTGTATTGAGCCTGGCATGGTTATACATTCAAACGGTGCAGCAGGTGGAGTGCACAGATAAAAGGGTGGAGGTGTGTGAAAGATTTTCATCATTATTATATTGTTATTGATTAAATAAAGTACAGGATCATTTATTGTCAGTTATAATGTCCACTGTGGCTTTGTGTTTAGTAAAAATCCACCTTTTACAGAACGGAGCCAAATGGAAAACCTTTAACATGCATGAGACGTCATTTCAGAAGCTGAGCTATTCAGCAGAGGAAAAGCTAAACCTCGCCCTCTGAGGGTCGCCCTTAGAGGGCGAGGTGGATGTGAAATTTCTATAGTTTCTGTTTTTTCTGTTGCCCAACAGACAGGAAAGGAAAGGAATTTGACACTGTGTGGAAGACTGCTGGACGTACCTGCTGTACTCTGAGACCGGACTCCAGTCTTTGGCATCTGGGAAACAGAACTGGGGAATGGCTTTGAGCCTCTGTTCTGCCTCCCTCATCTGCTTGGTGGGCCTATCCAGCTGTGAGGTGAGGAGAGTATTCCAGTCAGCTCATCCTCCTTCACATAACTCTGTCATCCTTTATTAAAATCCCCCATGGATGACCTACAAATGACCAGACTAACTTTTCTCCTGTTCAAGGTTAAACTCCCTCATGTCCTCTCTAATTTAACTACACAGAGAGTGCTCTCTGGCCGTGTGAGATTAACTTCTCCCAGTGTACACGTCAGCTGAGAAGTAATTAGAAAAATATTCTTTCAGGGTTTTTCCTGTGGCGTGAATGGATCCTGGTTATTTTTAATTATAAACAGACCTACAGGGCTTTAATTTATAAGCTGTAATAACCCACACAACTTCAAAGAGCCTGCAGGGTCAAATGTGAAAAAAGTGTTTCAAGGCTCAAAATGGGGGGAAATTTTAGAAACCCTCTACACGATCTTTTAATAGTAAGAATAATATCATTGCAGTAACTGCTTTTATAAGTCACGTAATAATAACACTCAGGAGGTTCTGAACTATTTGTGCTTTGGAAACCATTCAGTGGTGACATATCTATGCACAGTTTGTGATTTTTAAAAATCTAGTGACGTCGGTTAAGGAATTTTATGGCCACTGACACATTAGACTTGATTTTCTTTTACATTTTTTTGCTTGTTTGCTTTGTTTCAAAGCAATTTGCGCTTTCTGCATTCTTGCTACGCCCCAAGTAAAAGTTGTCAGAGGCGACCAGCAGCAGGACCGAGTTGCGGCTTTTACCTTGGGGAATTGGTAGGTGACCTCTGGGGAGTAGGAGTTCTTGGTGGGTTTCTTTTTCAGAGAAACAACCACAAAGTACTCAAAGAGTTCTCTCTCCTGCCACTCGATGAGCTGCAGCTCCAGCGTTCGATAGCTCGGGGCTCGTCGCAGGATGGACTGTAACTTTAATAACCTCTGGGTGTGAGCTGAGAAACGGAGCAAACATAATACATGCAAAATTGTCAGTTTTTTGTAGAGAATGAAATCTGAGGCTCCAGCAGGTCAGTCAATTAAACAGAAGGTATCTGAAAAATGTGCGCTCGCTAACCTTTGAACCTGTCGTCTGAGTCGCTCTCGCTCTCGCTGTTGTCGTCTGGAGACACACAGAGAAAAGGGGTTTTTATGGGTCAGGGTGCTTCTTCACAAACATGTGTTTATGTCGCAAAAGGGACACAGAGGGAACGCTGCGTGGGTGGCTGAGATACAAATATTTACTCGCTTATCTGGCCAGAACATGAAGGGGAATATAGAGAAGCAATACCTCTCAGAGATGCAGTCTCAACATTAGACATGGAAAGCTTCTTCAACCTCTTCTTCCCACGTTTAGTGCAGTAAATGGAGTTGATCCTCTGGACCAGCTGTAGACGGAGGAAGGAGGAAATTCTATCAGGAACTTAAGGTTTTGTTTCTCTTGAGCCTAAGTATAGGAAGCAGAGATGTGCACGGCCAAAGCTAACAGTGTGAAATATAGTACATGTGTGTTAAAGGGTGCAGACAAATACAACAGAAAGGCATTAAGGGGGGTTCTTGAGAAAAAGGCAAATTTAAACAGTGATTACACGCATCAAGGTGCTCTATCTTAAAAACATCTATTCCAAACTGTGGGATTACAAGTGATCCAGAGATCCACTGACTCTGACTGAAACCTGAGATGACCTGTGAAGCGGGAACACAGAGTGAACACGGTCGGAGCTCTGCGAGGACTTAGTGTAGGTGTTTTTGTACAATTTCGCAGTGTGTACCTTGGGGATCCTCCAGTGCCTGTGTGAGGGCAGGGTATCGGTTGTGCTACAGAGGCTATCATCCAGCAGGCCGCAAGGTGAAGGTGATACACCAATCTGGGGGAGAAGCAGCATTTCGTCGTGGCTGTAGCGTTTGGTCAGCTGCGACATCCGATGGCTTTTCCTGTCGCTCGGAGCAGGCAAGTGAAGGGACTGACTGCTGGGTTTGGAAGGCAGCTAGTTACAGAGAAAAGAAAGCAGCAGGTTTGGTACCTTTCATTCACTTGTAATAACACTTAGCTTTAAGCAATATCTTTATATCTCAGTTACATTGCGCAGTGATCTGCCTTCCTAGTTTTTCATTTCCTGTCATAAAGAGATGTCCAACATAAGGCCCGGGGGCCAGAATTGGCCTCTAATATGGCCTGCTCGACAGCTTTGGAAAGAGCCTGAATTTTGGACTTCAATGACAGAAATTTCCATTTTTTCATAGAAATCTGTTATTTTAATGGTGGTTTCAGAGTACAAAGGGGGAAAAGGACATATTCTGTCAATTAACAAGAATTTCTGTTTTATTTTATTTTATGTTTAATAATTACAGGACAGTCTGTGCAATGAGCTACAAGAACATTTTCGGTAATTGTAACAGTGTTTTCTTACAATTTGAACCCAGTGTGGTGCTGACTAATTTTTTTTTCATTCACTATAACAACGTTTCTTTATTATGTAGAAAAACTGACAAGTAATTCAATTCAGTTTTATTTATATAACACCAAATCACAACAACAGTTCCCTTAAGGCACTTTATATTTTAAGTTGAAGACCCTACAATAAGATAACAATAACATTTATTTTTTAAATTGCACTTATTTTTCTTTTATTAAAATATACCAGGAATTAAATGTGTAGATTAATAGCTTTGCACTGACAGAAAGGTCAGTTTCACTGGTCCGTATGTGGGCCACGATGCTTTAATGTGTTAGTGTCAATGCAAACAAAACATTAAAGCATTTAAGCAGGAGAATCCGATTTATTTCGAAGCAGTCACAGGGAGTGGCATTCAAAGGAACAACTCAAAAAAGCATGCCCATCTTCAAAGCAGGGGTTTTTCTGTACATGTGATAACTTGAAACGTTTGTCATCTTCTCAGCGCTACTCTGGAAATGACTGACTTCTCTGATGGACTTCTCTATCAAAAGTAGCGGTTCAAACAGTGTTTACAGCAGTGTTAAACAATGCTTGTTGTTACCACATGTACCCCTTTTGTCCCTTCTACTTTACATAGTGTGAGGCATGTGCCTGGCAATGAAGTGAGCAGACTAAATCAGCAGATGGCCCTTTCTGTAAACATCGCAAGGTCTAAACACGTCAAGCTGTTTCCTGGAGTGACTCAAATGAGGTGTGAGATTCTTTAAAAGACGTTATCCAGGTTTCATCTGTGACACCCCAAAAGGGTTACCTGAGGCGGAGAGTTCAGCTTCCTGTCCATGACGGACCAAGAGCGGTTGTTCTCCAACAGACGAGACGTACGGCCCAAACTCCGCCGCTTCAGGTCGACGTCCTCATATGGATTCTCCTTCTCTGTGGGAATAAAGTGACTGTTCACGATAGAAGTACAGCTGGCAACAGTTTGTCTAAGCAGGCCGATTCTGAGAGTGGACAGATGAGGCCGAGGGGTCAAAGAGGGTAAATAGAAGGCGATTAAAGGTGTCAGAGGTCCAAGAAAGCCTCCCTAGGTTATTTCAAAAAGGGATGAGTGATGAAAGGTAAGTCAAAGGACATTCACAGCCGACTCAAGTTAATTCCCAACTGAGTCACTGTCCAGATATGCAAACTGTAGTGAGAGAGCAAAAGAAGAGTACATCATGAGTTCCACAAAGACCTTTCCAATAACCACTGGTTCTTTCAGGTATACATCCACTAAGTATATCATTTTATGTTTGTTTTTTGCATAAGACAATCTTATAAGGCATCTGACAAACAAGAGTTCGGGTCTCATTTGGCAAATTATTTTAGGCCTGCAATAAGCATAGATTTTGCTACCGCTCCATAGCTGTACTTCAGTCACTAAATGATGGCAGGAAAGCAAAGAGCATGAACATTACAGAGCATAGCATGGCTCTCGTTGATGTCACCTGGCAGGGGACCAACTTCAATAAAGACAGAACTTGTGTAACACCACAGTCCGTGTCTATTCAGACATGTGCTCTGAGAATAGCTTTTTGGCAGGGTCTGAAAAAGGTTGTGAGAAAGAGAAGAAACCACGGCGAAGAACAAAAAACAGAGCCAGATGGCGTCGAAATGCATGAAGGGAACTTTTAAAAGAAAGAAAATCAGTGTTATCTGGCAACAGAAGTGCATCTGGTAGCTGTGTTTTAAAGGAAAACCCGATGAACCCTCCAACAATGAGAGTTTTTTAAGCACCTAACTTAAAAAAAATGCTTCCATAGCTTTGTTAATGATTTAACCTGTACACACACATACACACACACACATTCATGCACAGACAATGTACACTGGATGGGGAGCTTCGGGGCGTTATGTTGTGTCACGCAGTCAATTAGTTGAGTGGAGTTATTTTTATGTGCATCATTAAAGCTGCGGGGCAGAATCAGAGGGCTCAGTCTGACCCCACATTGTGCCGCTGCGCCATTAAACCGAAGCTATACTGTAATGAGAGCCTGCTGGGAAAATCACATGTCTCTATAGCTGCTCATGCACTGGAGGGTACTAATCTGCTCCTCTGATTACAAACATCAGGATCTCTCCCTAACACACTCCCAGACACGCAGCATTACGTAGGGAGGGGACACACCTCAGCTGCACACTGTGATTGTACATTTCTGCGTACGCACAATGGACGCTCTTGGCAGGGCGAGGCTCAGAACAAACTGCACCAACAATGTCAGGATCAGTTTACCCTCTAAAGTGGCGACCTTGTACCAATGCTCAACCACTGAAACAAAACTACATCAGGGGTGGACGCTATAGAAGAACCTCTGGCAGGACCGCAAACCGTACAGCGCCTCCGTCATGAAGACAGTCTCTCCCGTGACTACGCCGGCGACGTTTTGTGGCAGAATGTACAGTATTTCAGGCACCATAACAAAATTACAGCTTGCTTTATGTGTCTAAGGTGCATCTGTTTAATCGCTCGTTACACGTAGCAGACAGTCGCCCAGATTCATTCGCAGTGGGGTAAGAGCAGACAGCTGAATCATTGTGTCAGTGGCGCAAAGGGTGTGATTCATCAGCTTGTAAACAGATCAATCACCGGCACACCATTTATCAGCTACGCTAGTTAAAAGCACTTACACGGTTCCCTGATGTCACAATATATCATGCAACCGTAGTAACACTGTAGCGCAGGTCAAAAAAGGCCAGCGATCTTAAGATAAACACCTAACATCAAGCACAAGTGCCAACTGACAACAAGTGAGTGGGCGTCCTTCCAAGAAAGTCAAAGAAGTCAAAGTTCTCATGGGAAAGAAAAACATTTATTTTTTTCATTTTTTTCATTTCTTGCATAGTCAGTGTTCATGTATTTTCATACGACATGAAAAAGAGACCTCACATCTGGGAAACATCGCAGTACTTTGTTTTATAGGGTCTTTTTTCTAGCCAGCGTTACCAGGGCACTTCCTCAGGTTAAGAGGAACTTTGAGTGATGCAGGTATACTGTAATTGGCTAAAAATCTGAATGTAGCTATTTAGAGAGCAACTCTTAAAGATGAGATGGAGTCCAGACTTTAATAAAGGGAAATAAGATGCAATCTTGATTAAATATAAAACTCTGCACTCACAGTTCCCTTCGGTTTGCTAGTGGGCATCCACCCCATGCAGCAATGTGGGGAGAAAATGAAGATGCTGACCACAACAAGAGGTGACGCTGAACTACCAACCACTGGCCTGCATTACATCAGTCTCAAGAGTTTGTTGAGGGGCGAATGCAATCAGAATAAAGGCTTGGAAGGAATTTGGAACACAGGGACATCCCCAGTGGGTACTTACCCACAGGTACTCCCCAGAAATTGTTTCATCTTAAAGCAGCTCTAATGTCAACTTTCTTTGCATTTGATTTTTATAATTACAAATTGCAAAGAGAAAAACGTGTCAAGAGCAAATATGAAACACATTATGGGAGACCTAGACTATATATATATATATATATAAAATCTAAACATCAGCAAAAGGGTTTTTTTTCTGTTTCTTTCTGTACACGCTTACTTGTTGAGTTCAGAGAATATACGGGAGGTTGTTGTTCTTTGTAAAAGATGGCTGTACCGTGTAATAAGATACACAAAAACCCTCATTTCCTACCAGCGTGGCTGCTTCTCAAATGAAACTTTAGTTTGAAAGCTTTTGTTTGAGCACTTCAACTGGAAGACAACATCTCTGTCGAGAACAGGCAAAGATCGGGAAAAGTGCGTCTCCAACCCGCAAACTCTCACCCTCACAGTGCCGGATGAACAATGGGAGCTTTGTTGCGAGTCACATGAAAATCCGTCATGCCTTGACGCTCTATCTCAGACCGCTGCACATCCTCAGCCAAAAAGAAAAAAAAGAAAAAAAACAGAAGGAGAAGGAGAAGAAGAAGTGCACTGACTGGGAAAAAATGGTTATGCTTGTATATTTAAAAAATCCCACCCTTATTTAGTCATCACTGAGCGTTTATAATAAAAATATTGCAGAGTGTGTAAACTGTTTGGGGATTTTTTTGTTTGGTTGGGTTTTTTGGTTTTTTTTGCACAAGTTTCATCATGAGCTTGCACATCGCACTGACACATTTTCACTGCATTAAATATGCACTGAGGGAGTTGGCAGCTGAACTGGGCAAAGGGCCTGGGGTCATTTGCTAGTGGAAAGGAATTTTGGCTCCTCGACGCGTCCAGCATTTCAAACACAAATTATCTCAGACAACAAACCAATGATTTGACTTCTCTCCGGCGAGAAACGCTTCATGAAAATGTAAGAAAATGATGCTTAGCAAATCTGTGACCACACAAAAAAATCCATCCTTACTCTAACATTTGGTGAACTACACTTACTGATTACTGATTACATCTATCTGCATCAATAAAGGCATTTCACTGTGGGAGTTCCCACTGCCACTGCTGATGCCGGATAGCAGAGTGAAAATGCAGATACCCAGTTGATCTCTACAATAAAATCCAACCCATGCAGCCACATGTTATCCATTAATCTTATTTTCAGGCTCAGTGCTCACTGACTGCTCCCACAGTGGGATTTTTTTTTCCACACCCCACACATTTCTACATGAAGCAAAAGTGCAGGGGGGGGGGGGGGGGGGGGGGGCACCACGCAATCTTATTACAACTTCAAGAGTCACTAAAACATCCGACTTTGTCTGCCAAGGCTTCTGTTACAATCAGACTAATGATATGCATTCAACACCCACTTTATTAGGTACACCTTGCCAGTATGGGTTTGGAGCCTCTTTCACCTTCAGACCTGCCTTAATTCTTCATGTGATAGAGTCAAAAAGGTGCTGGAAACATTTCTCTGAGATTTTATTCCATATTCACATGACAGTATCACACATTTGCGGCAAATTTGTCAGCCACACATGAATTTCCCGTTCCACCCCATCCCAAAGGTGCTCTTTTCGACTGAGATCTGGTGAGTGTGAGGGGAATTTGAGTACGGTGAACTCATTTTCACATTCAAGAAACCAGATTGAGGGGATCTGAGTTTTCTGACATGGTGAGTTATCCTGCTGGAAGCAACCACGGTCAGCAACAATACTCCAGTAGACTGTCTTGCTCTGTTGATACTAAGGCTATGTTCACACTGCAGCCGAAAGCGTATCAAATCCGATTTTTTTGACGCCGTGTGACCCATATCCGATCATGCTATGACAGTGTGAACGGCACAAATCCGATCTGGGTCACGTTCGTATGTGGTACTGAATCTGATAAATATCTGATGTTTTGCAGCGACTGCTGTTTGAACGGTCGTGTCGCATTAAATCCATCTTTTACGTCACTGACACAAGACAGACGCCAATTATCAGCGCCGGAGAAGACATCACGAACGCTTCCTGGCCATCCAGTGTAGATGTTAGTGAAAGTGTTGGGAAGACAACGTGAACATTTTATTTGTACTGTATAATCTGCAGATTCTGACAGAAATCTGCAACTATCCTTTGAAGCACCGCTCCTCTAAAACAGCAATAGGGATAATTATTAGGTTATTTACATTATTATGTAAATAACAAAATAACTTTAAGCAAAAATTGGGGAAACGTAAAGTCCGCAGTCTTTATATTAAGGGCCATCAGTCAAACAATATTGTTTGCTCTGGGTCTAAACAGAGCGCGTTGTGTGTGACGTCTTCTTTTGCGCATGCGGGCCGCTTTGAACGTTCACACTAGAGTTTGCTGTCGCATTTTATTTGTAGTGTGAACAAGCAGACAAAAAAATCGGATTTGATCAAAAAATCGGAATTGAGCATTAAGACCTGCAGTGTGAACGTAGCCTAAGAGGTCCAAAGTGTTCCAAGAAAATATCCCCCACACATTACATCACCAGAAGCAGCCTGAATTGATCCAAGGCAGGGTGGATCCATGCTTTCATGTTGTTTATGCCAAATTGTGAGCCTACCATCTGAATGCAGCAGCAGACATTTAGAGTCATTATACCAGGAACCATTTTTCCACTTTTCTATTGCCCAATTTTAGTGAGCCTGTGCCAACTGTATCCTTAGTTTCCTGTTATTAGCTGACAGGAGTGGTTCCCAGCCTGGTCTTCTGCTGCTGTAGCCCATCTGCTTCAAGGTTCAATGTGCTGTGTATTCAGAGATGCTGTTATATATAAATTTCTGTTAGCGTCCTGTCAAATTAAAACAGTCTGGACAAAAATCTTCTCTGATTTTTGGCATCAAGAAGGCATTTTCACACAGAGAACTGCTGCTCACTGATATTTTTGTCTTTTTCGGACCACTCTCTGTAAATCATAGAGATGGTTGTGTGGGAAAATCCCAGTAGGTCAGCAGTTTGTAAAAAACTCAGACCAGCCCGTCTGGCACCGGCAACCGCGCCTCGTTCAGAGTCACTTAAATCACCTTTTATCTCCATTCTGATGCTCAATTTGAAGTTGAGCAGATTGTCTTGGCTATGTCTACAGATCTAAATGCACCGAGTTGCTCTCACGTGATTGGCTGATTAGATATCCGCGTAAATGAGCAGTTAAGCAGGTGTACCTAATAAAGTGGCCAACAAGTGTAACTAGTGGAACTAAAACTTTTTCACATGATTTGGGTGTCCTTGCCTTTGATTTCCTTTATAGTACCTGTATCATTATATGTTTGGAGCAAACCGATTTTGTCTCAACATAAGTTCAAAATATAAAAATATTCAGTTTACTATCACAGAAGAATAGAAAACATGAAAAATAAATGCAAATTCAAGACGCAAGAACCAGAAAAATGTTGTATGTCTTACTTTGAAAGGTGACTTATACAGTAATACAAATTACAGATCAACGATCTGAAGATCAGTTAATGTTTACATCTTGTCTTGTTTACAGTGTACTGAGCCAGTGTGCTTACCTACTATGTCCTCATAGGCATTCTCCTCTAAAGTGCTTTTGGAATTGGGTCGGCTCCGTGCGTCTGTGGTCAGTGCGCCATTCTCCGTGGGCGAGGACGGATATGAAGACGGCAAGCTGGCAGCATCCTCCGACTCACACGACTCTCTAGAAGAAGATAAACAATTTGAAACAGACCAAGGTGCTGAGGACAAGTCAACACGAGCCAGTGTCTTACTCAGAGCATGTCAACACGTGATAGAGGACAGAAAAAGTGCAGGTCGTATTAAAATATAATCCAGACACCCTACTTCTAAAATGCACTACTTGTCATCTGGAAGAACAGAAACAGGTGGAAACACTCCTAGTGCTGATAAGCGCATTAAAGTCAACGCTTGTCCTTTAAAAAAAAACCCTAAATCAGAAGAATTAATGTTGAAATAAAAGGATCATGCTCCGATCACCGAAAAATTCTAGATAAGTCCAAAGTAAACATGCAGATATCTTACTATTCCTGCGTGTTGTCTGCACAGTGTAAAGCACATGCTACATGTCGAGGCACTGCACAAACTGTTAGCGGAGCTACATCGGCGCAGGGATCTACAGTACGGTCAAGTCGCGCCATCGACAGCTTGTGGCTATAAGCTCGGTCTGAAATTGCTTGAACCACAGGAATGTTAAACACAGAGTCACAGGGATGAACGTTTAAGGATTTCATGCCCGTTTCACACACGGGGATGATCTGGACAGGCCCCATGCTCACAAAAAACAACTGAGGACTTCTGATAAAGAGAATTATGAAAGAGTTATAGGAGCAGACCTTTTTTATGGGCCTGCATAAATTTCTGGATAGGATCTGGCATTTCAAATCCTCTGTCAAAGTATTATTTTTCAGTGGCAACCTTGCTGATTCAAGAGCTAAAACAAACTCAGGACGTGCAGCAACCTTGCAAACGGACACACTGATGAGAAGCCTGTTGAGCTTCATCATCAGTGAAGCAATTAGCCATAATGAACAAGCCTAATTTCTCACAAGGCAGTCAAACATGTTTGATGAGTTATCCTCTTAAAGGAGATGAAGCCAGAAACTAGGTCCAATGCCAAATTATAACATAACACAGAAGTTTGTCATTCAAACTGTCAAGTTTGCAGAGTTTATTAATGTACAAAGACTGGGAATGGTAAATGTGCAGTTAATTCAAAATCTGTAAACTACCTGTATAGCTCCAAGATGCTTTTTAAAATATTTTTGGGGATGTTACATGTGGTATGCATGTAGTTGGAATATGCAAGATCCACAAAATATTACGTTTTTATTACACTGTAAGTGCATGCCAGGTTTCATACTTTCTCCCTAGCCCTTCAAAAACTTCCTGCTTTAAAGTGGTTCGTCCTGTTCACTCAAAACTCCAGACTGTAATAATAAAGCATCGTATTGTGTGGTAATGTAATATAAGTTTCCTGTGCTTATACTTGTGTGACTACAGACACAAAAGCAGGCATTTGATTTTTGCCTCACCTGTCCTGGATTCTGATGGGGGCACTTCCTTCGGTCTTTGCCGTTCGTGTCGTGCTGGGTGCAGGGGTCGAGGGCAGCGGCGGCGGAGACTCAGAGGCTCTGTCTGGAGGTAGTCCATTGGTCGACGATGCACCCTTCTGGTCTCGATTGGCGTCGTATTCAAAAGTGCGTTTGGGTTTAGGTAAGGGGTTGACTGGTGTGCTAACAGAGTTCTTTTGGCTCGGTGGTTCTGGGCTCTCGGACCTGGCTGAGCTCACACTAAACCTTTGTCTGAGTTTAGAGAGCTTGTCGGGCACCAAAGCGGTGTCCGGTTCAGTGTTCACTGAACAAATGCTGCTGCGCTTACTGGTACATGTGCTGTCCAGGTCGTCCCCTATCACAAAGGACTTTTGTCTCGTCTTATCCGGCGCGTAGCAGTTACTCAGGTAACGTGGAGGGGGTGGGCTGGGATTCTCCTTCAGGGCTTGCTCGATCTTTTGTATCCTGTTGAGGACTGCTGACGTCTCTTTGCGAGTAGACAGGGAGCGCACAAACGGTCCCGTAGAGTCTGTCTTGCCGATCCTTTTCTGGAAACGTCCGTTTTTGTCTGGAAATCCTTCCTCCTCCTCCGTCTCTGTGAAGGAGCATTCAGAGAATGCCGTGCTCATCCTGCGAACCCCCTTAAAGTCAAAAGTCTTCTCGCTGCAGGGAGAAGACAGCAGGCTCGGGCAGCCCTCGCTACTCCCTATGCGCTCCCCTCCTCTTTTGTCCAGACACAAGCTCATCCTAGGCAGAGACACCCTTCTGCACTCCCATTCTGAGATCTTCTTGCGGATTGTGGCAGGGGGGACACCTGTTGCTGAAGAGGTGAGAGAGAGGGCGCGCTTGTGGCCTTGGTAAGAGGAAGGTCCCAGTGAGAGCGTGCTCCAGCTCAGTGTCCTACCATTAAGTCCATCTCCTGGAGCGAGATCCCCTTGTTTCTCCTTCTGCTCCTGTGCGCCCTGACTTTCCTGACAGGACTTGGTTTGAGCTGGAGGCTTGTAGATGGAAAGCCTGTTCTCCAGGCAGCTGATGCTCTTTGACTTGGTTAGACGGCCCTGGCAGTCAGGCTCACTTGTGAGAGATGCACCGCTGCACAGGCTAGCTGTCTTGTTATTCCATCCACCACGTAGCAGAAACCTGCCGTCAGTTCTGACGTACCTGCTCTGCTTGCCAGAGTTCTCACTGTCGCTGAGGAGCGGCTGCTGGCTCTGCCGCTGGCTGGCAGAGAGAGCAGGACACGGTGATGTAGACTGGCACCTGAAACAAGGCGGAGAGAGGTGTGAAGAAAATTTACATTTAAAAAATACTTCAGACTGACAGATGGTAACAAACCAGTGTCATAAAAGGTGCCAACAAGTCCGCGTGCAAATGTGGACCAGATGGGAGAAAACTGTAAAGAATCAGCCGAAAGATTTGAAATTATTTCCGAGATCAAAGACAGCATGAAAACCTGAGCCACGTATTTAGAATAACCACAGGAAAGTATTCTGTCTCTGGCAGCGCGGGATTCAAATACAGGCCAAAGGAAATACAGACTACATTAAAATGCCACTGCGGATTTTTCCACATAATCAAAAAAACCTGAGGCGAATCAGTTTGGACCTCACACAGAAAGGAGCATGCCAAGCGAGATTTATCTTACCTGTGAAAGTCTTGCTGCTCTTCTCTGGTGCGCAAAGCTTTTGCTGATCCTTGCAGCTAAGTGGTACTAGGTGCTACTGTGTTCTCGCACTTACTGCAGACTCTGCAACCGTTTACCTCACACACACTATCACACACACACACACACACACACACCTTTTCTCACGGTGCTCACCCGCTTTAAGATTTCCACAGAGTGCCAAATTTTCCACTTAACTTCAGGTTAACCTACTACTCATAGCACATCAGGAGCTTTGTCATGAGCTGAAAGGTGACTAACTCTTGTGAAAGTGAAGTGTTGGGAAGATCTGATGTCATAGCCATGGTTAGAATAACAAGAGCTATGGGAGGAGGAAGCTGAGGGCTGTGGACTATGATCCAACAATGCAGGTTGGGACAGATCCGACTTCACGCCTATCTGCCCATCCCTGGTTTCACTCTTCCTGCTCCAGGGTGGAGAAACTTATACAAAAGCTGGGGGCTTGGTTGCTGAAGCCATGAAGGATGCATCTCATCTTACTTGCTTTGAAGGTGTACTGTATGAGAAATGAAGACATGACCTCACATCTGCAGAGTTTTAATGGTAGTTTCCAGTGTTACTCTGGAGTAAACTGAATGATTAATAACACTAACACTATTTTCATCATAAGGCTGAAATGTCAGTGGAGACAAAGCAAATACGACCAAATATGATTCTATAGTTCTTAAAAAGCAGGATCCCACTGACATCTGGTCCTTCACAATTTACAGTAATTCTCATGTTTTAATATATGAGGATGAGCAGCCCCTATTCAACTTAATTTAATTCAATTCCATTTTGTTTACAGCGCCAAATCACAAAAACAGACCCTGTAGACCCTACGATAATACATACAGAGAAAAACCCCAATGAGCAAGCACACTGGCAACAGTGGGAAGGAAAAACTCCCTTTAAACAGGAAGAAACCTCCAGCAGAACCAGGCTCAGGGAGGGGCGGCCATATGCCGCGACCGGTTGAGGTGAGAGAAGGAAGACAGGATAAAAGACATGCTGTGGAAGAGAGACAGAGGTTAATAACAAATGTGATTCAATGCAGAGAGGTCTATTAACACATACTGGGTGGGAAAGGTGAATGAAGAAGAAATACTTAATGCATCATGGGAATCCCCCAGCAGCCTACACCTATTGCAGCATAACTAAGGGAGGATTCAGGGTCACCTGGTCCAGCCCTAACTATATGCTTTAGCAAAAATGAAAGTTTGAAGCCTAATCTTAAAAGTAGAGATAGTGTCTGTCTCCCAAATCCAAACTTAAAGCTGGTTCCACAGAAGAGGGGCCTGAAAACTGAAGTCTCCCTCCCATTCTACTTTTAAATACTCTAGGAACAACAAGTAGGCCTGCAGTGCGAGAGCGAAGTGGTCTAATAGGGTGATATGGTACTACAAGGTCATTAAGATAAGATGGGGTTTAAGACCTTGTATGTGAGGAGCAGGATTTTGAGTTCACTTCTGGATTTAACAGGAAGCCAATGAAGGGAGTTTTTAGGACACCCTGATAATAATGAATTACAGTAGTCCAGCCTAGAAGTAATAAATACATTTTCAGCATCACTCTGAGACAGGACATTTAAAATTTTAGAGATACTGCGCAAAAAGAAGAAAGCAGTCCTACATATTTGTTTAATATGTGCAATGAAGGACATGTGCTGGTCAAAAATGACTCCAAGGTTCCTCACAGCGTTACTGGAGGCCAAGGTAATGCCATCCAGAGTAAGCTCTGGTTAAAAATTGCATTTCCAAGATTTTTAGGGCTGAGTACAGAAACCTCAGTTTTATCTGAATTTAGAAGCAGAAAATTAGAGGTCATCCAGGTCTTTATGTCTTTAAGACATTCCTGCAGTTCCTGCAATTGGTGTGTATTATCTGGCTTCATGGATAGATAAAGGCTGGTGTCATCTGCATGGCAGTGAAAATGTATGTATGCTATGCCTGCGATGATACTATCTAAGGGAAACTACCTATATTAGGTGGTTTCCGAAAAAACTGCAGTAGTAATGCAAAAACAAAGTGAGGTTTATGGCTAGTGTAATCTGCAATGGCTGCAATGTTTAAAAAGAATTTCAACTTTCTTTGAAAAAAACTGTCCTTGTTATTCTTATTATTCCATTTTCTACAGTGCGGGGGACAACTGCTGCAACACTGAGGGGATCAAATTTTTAGATTTTTATTAAAGGATCAATATAACAGGGCTATAACATGATGGTGCAGTTTTACTTTTTTGGGGGCGCTGTCCAAAAATGATCCGGACCTTCTAGGAACTTTTAAAGCGCTCTTGAGTGATAGTTCTCCAGGCTTTCTTGAGGTCTTTTTAATTTTTTCTGTGGACATTGGTTACTTTTTTCCAGTCCTTGTACCTAACAACTTTCAGAAGAATTCTTTTATTTTGTTAAGCTACTTAACACTGACCTGTGAATCCTTCAAGTATAAAGAACGCACCTAACTCAAGAATGTTATGACTACACCTAAGAGAAAACTTAGTAAAGAACCAATTTTATATTGTGTCTTCAGGCACATTGTTACAAGCAGCCTGTCACAAAAACACATCATTTGTTCCCATTTCTTTAGTTGAGTCAACAAAAAATACCAACAATTACAGTTTGACAAATATAAAATAGTATTTATACACCAACAAGGGGATTCCCAGAGAGCGTTTAGCCACGAACTTGCATTTCTCAGCATGCTGTGTATTTTCCTAAAAAAAATTGAGGAAACTTGGCAACTGGAGGACAAAAGAAGCAGCAGTCCTAAAAAGCAACAACAGATGAACAGTATCTCAAAGTCATGTGCTGAAGAAATAAGGAAAAAATCCATCAAAGGCCTAACACAGGACCTGAGCGATACATCTGGCCCTTCAGTTGATTCATCTACTGTTCAGCAAAGCCTCATCAGAAATGGTCTCAGTGGAGGGATGGCCGTCAATTAAAGAATTCTTAATGAAGGTAAACAGCAAGAAAAGACTGAGGTATGCCATACACAAGAGCTGGACTGAAAACAAGAGGCAACAAGTCTTACAGGTTGGGGATCTTCTCAAAATTGACTGAATAATAATGAATGCAAAAAAGTACCATCAGATTTTGAGCCACCAAATGGAAGCATCTGTCTGGCAAAGGATCCATTTTTCAGCATGACAATGAACCCAAACCCACTGCCGGTGTAGTATAAGAATATCTGGATAAATTGGCCTCCCCAGAGCCCAGACCTCTACATTAATGAAGCAATGTGGAGTCATCTTGACAGAGAACAGAAAAACTGCAGGCAAAATACAAAGATGAACTTTGAATGTCCTTCAAGAAGCCTGGAGAACTATTCCTGAAGACAACTGAAAGAAATTACAAGAAACCTTGCCTAAAAAAGGTCTGGCTATGTTGAAGAATAAAGGTTATCATACCAAACACTGACTTTCAAGATTGTTGGAAATATAAGACCTCTGTTTTTGTCATATATATTGTATTCCCATGTATGCTTGCACATTTGTGCACCTATTATGTCTGCACCTATTTCCCAAACCAAAAAAAAGCCAAATAGACCCCATGGTTTCATGAATACAATGCTTTTAAAGCACTGATGTTAATCAGCAGTCAGCATGTGTTGCGATGTTTCAGTGGGGAGCTGTTGAAAAGAACTTGTCTGGGAAATTAAATTCCTACTGCTTTCCTGGCAAAACGCCGATCATAAATTCTGCCAAGGACTATGTCTGCCACAGGAACCTAGTGAGGGAACAGCATCTCTGAAGCTAAGTATCAACTGGAATGTTTTAGTAGCAACCAGACCAAACACTCAACAATGCAATCCTAATACCACTAGCAGTGCAGTTTGTTGAGTTAATCATGACACTATTAATTTTCTCCCTGGGGTTTTACTTTGGGAAAGATTAGTGCTGTGTTTCCATGCCTAACAATGATTCCACAATGTGACAGTAAACAAGCAAAAACAAGATGATCTGGGAGAAAACACTCACGCTGGCTTCATGCTGGGCTTTCAGAACATCTTAAAGAGAGAACACAGCATAATTGTGCACACACTGCTGTGTCTTCACTCTGACATGTCTGAACTGATTTTCACCCCTCATCCAAGAGGCTCTTTCAGTTCTAACACGAAAAGGTGGAGAGTCCCAGGTATTTAAACCCTAGTGGAGATAGTCCCAGGAGGTGCTTGTTGACCCACTATTCAATTCAATTCAATTCAATTTTATTTATATAGCGCCAAATCACAACATCACATAGATACAGAGAAAAACCCAACAATCATATGCGCATCGTATGCACAGCTCTCTTAAGGTCCCACAGCATTTCATTCAGGCTGAGATCATTGTAACCCTTGATTTTATTCTTTTTCAGCCATTCTATTGTCAATTTGCTGCTGTGTTTGGGATCCTTGGCTTCACGTTTAACTCTAGAATACTTTGGTATGCACAGGAGTTCATGGACGACTCAGTGACTGCAAGGTGCCCAGGTCCTGTCGCTGCAGAATGAGCCAAAATCATCACCAATCCCCCACCGCGCTTTGTTTGGATTTTCACCAAACATGGAGCTGTGTGTTATAGCTAAACATCTCTACTTTGGTCTTTTCTGATCAAAGCACAATGTTCCAGAGATTGTGGTATTGTGTTAACACACAAGGCTCCAGACCAGGAGGCTGCAGAAACATCTGCTTTTATAACGGTGTTCACACTTGCTGATGATCAGTTTTTCAAGTGCATTTGATTATCAGCACCTGGTTGTTATTTACTCTCTTCTTTCCTATCAAAACAGTGAGGGTGTACTTAGCTTTCACAGGTCTGCACAGAATCCTGTGAAAACTTCCTGTCTTCACACGCCACTTGACAGCTTCATATTATTTCAGTTGTAAACATAAAATAATATGAGTATAAGAATAATATTAGAAAACCAACTGAACTGTAGTCTGACTTTGAAGACCTCTCAATTAGATAGTCAAAACGTTGTGCTGAGCTTCATCTTTTCTATCAGATTTTTGCCTATTTAAGGCTTTGGGTGCTTTAAGGGTTGTAAAAAGAAGCCCAGTTTAGTCAGCTTCAGATGGACTGGCCACACATACAGTACTCTACAAAGAGCTGAATGCCAGTCACAACCTGGCCTCTGGCTCTTACTCAGGCTTCCAGGGCATTCCAACCACAAGCCACTTCCCGTTACTGACCAGGATGGAGAATGCAGCCTGTTCCCTAAACTTATAGCTCTGCATGTGCCGACTTTACCAGCTCTCTGTCAATTATCGGTGCGTAACACCTAAATATGGCAAATGTGTATCAATGAAAACAGTGTAGTAGTCTTCACTGTAGTCTTGGAGGTCCATGTCCATTCAGAGTACAACATCAGACGAAGGTCCTGTATTTGGACAAGTTTCCAATTTCAACTTATTTTAATCGAGACTTTGCCCATGTGCTGTTGCATATTAAAATGCTCCCCTCCTGGGGCTTCACAGTTAAGCACAAGCATAATTTATCCTTGGTTAATCTCATACGTTGGTGAGAATCCATTGAATAGCACATAAATCTTCTCCATCTGTTAAAACATCTGGCTGCATCTCACGAGCTTTAAATATGATCTTAAAGAGTCTTGTGTAAGACGAGTCCCTGAGGACCACCAGCTGCCAATAATAACAAATACTTTTATTAAAAGAGATGCAGGTTAAATGGACAAATGGGGTGCAAAGGGGATGATGAGAAAGCTTTGTGCTACTGCGATCAGTGTTTTACTTACAATGACTAGTTGTGAATGTTTACTATGGAGAACAGTGTGTACACATTAATACCTAAAATTAGTTATACTAGATTTACGACACTGATTTAAATCCTAAGTACCTGCTGAGACTTGTACCCTCATAGGAATCTCAGCAACACCACCTCAACTGTGCTGGATTTGTTTGATAGTAATGAACATTCAGAATATTAGATTAGCACAAGAGTAATCCTTCTGTTGTGAATGTATTTAGCTTAACAGTACAGACATACGATATTTCTCTCATTTTAATTTGTGCTCGCACTCAAAAGTCTGCAAATGTTCTCCTCTCTGTTGTTCAAGACTTACTCAGTTTCACTCATGAATTAAGGATGCAGCCACATCAGCACATAAGTATAAACACAAGGAATGTCACACACTGCACCAGGGATTCGATACAGTACCACAAATTATGCTTTATGTGGTTTTCCATTTGCATTAGGCCTGATTGAAATGAGCAGCTACAGAAACCAGTTCCATTAGGTTACATTATAATTTTATGTAGGAAATGCTCTCTTCTGTGTGTCCTGCTTCATCAGAATGAAAAATGAGAAAAGGAATAGAAATCAGCAACATCCCTGGGAATCATTAACTATATAAGAATAATAGAAACCCTGGATTAAAAAAAGATGCTGTTTAAAATCAGCTATGGCAGAGCCGTGTAACAGCTTCAACAAAGACAAAAGGGTCATTCTTCAAATATGTCCAATTTTCAGGATACCTTAAAAATTTATTTCTTTTTCTAATGTTTAAATTTAGACCACAGTATCATATAAATCCATGAATTGACATGACAACATGCCAGTTTTTTTTTTAATCTCTTTTTGTACATTTACTTAAAGACCACGTGTGGTGGTTTTTTGTCGCAAAAAACCACCACACAACTGTAGAAATAATATTTTATAAATGCCTTTAATTTTTAAAGGCATTTATAAAATATTATTTCTACAGTCTCTTCAGCACATGAAGAAAAAGAAGAATGCAACAAATCAGGAGATAATGAAGCTGATTTATCATTTATTAGGTTTGTTTAGAAGTATGCATGTGCAGCCATTTATTTGCTGCAATACTGAAAATATTTGAATTCTATAAATTTCAATTTATCAACATATGAAATACGACACATTTTATTTGATGTGACAGGAAATGCGAATGAAAACATGTGACTCAGAGGGGCTCTTGACAAATTTGACAGGATCATAAAGAATTATATTTTACAAAGCATTTGTAAATTAGTTTTCTCACAGTATGTCACTGTCACTTCTCGACATGCTGACACACGTTTCAGCTCAGTATTCAGTTCAGGGCTGAATGGGGCACTTGTCCAGGAAACAGGATCATACTTGCAAAAGCTTTGGAAGCCTTATCATGACTGACAATTATCAGTTGTTTTTTTTCCATGAGTGAAACAAATAGGAAAATATGGATAAATTCGAGCAGTGGATTTGTTTGTCTTTCAAGTCGAGTCATTAGGTCACTTTGAAACCACTTAATGCTCCCTGAAATGCACATACCCAAGCCCACCCTGTCCAACATGTCACTGACCTGTCAGGGACGTCCCGAGGAGCTTTACCTCCTGCTGCACGAGGAGCAGCCTTTGAACTCTTGTTGGCAGTCATGTTCGTCTGCAAACCACCCGCTCACCTACAACACAGGGATATCAAACATTTAAACATGGGTTTTATACGGAATATTAAACCATTTATATTGTTTGTATTTGTCGTAAATATTTTCAGGATATAGAATCATAGAGCTAAAAAGCTTATTTTAGTTGCTGTCTTATTCCCAAGGAGTCGTCATGTCAGATGACTCTGCAAATTTTCATACTGGTCCTGCTGCAACACTCCCAGGGACTTGTGTCCTCTGCCGGTCTCAAGCCAGAGATCTTTTGCTAAGTGAGCATATTAACCACTACACTAAGGAACCACATAACAAAACACAAAGCTAACAGAAGGCAACACTAACTCTGGTGATACAGCACCCCTCATGTACATGTGCAGCCAAAAACAAATGAATAAACAGATACAACATAGCAGTTCTTTCATCTGTTGTGGTTATGAGTCTATATAACTGTAGTATCAATGTGTCAATGTAAGGTTTTGAAACAGCAGCTGTTACTATTATCCCCCATCAATGGTAGCTTTACTACTATTGCATCTGACAACTTTTCACAGCTCGGGCTAATAAAGAAATCCTACAGAGTTTTCCATTTCACCCCATCTGCCATCTTGAATCTCCAGTGTAAACACTGCAGATGACTTTCAATAAACTGAACGTAAGTGGCATAACTGACAGAGTATGTAGACAATATTGTGCTGGAGAAGCCCCAGAGCTCCCGGCACAGCTGTGGGGTTTTTTACGCCTAGAATATTTTCCTTTCGGGATCAAAGCATACGGGTATACAGAGCTGCCAAAGAAAAAGCTAAACTTCTATTTAGCAAGCTCTTTATAAACATTATGAATCATATATAAATACATATATTCACATGTGCTACTCTGCTGATACTAACATTAAAGGTTAAGTTCAAGCGAAGTCCAGAAAACTAATTTAGCTTACTTATTTCCAGACTTGAAAAGAATACAGATTTTTTTTAAAACAAAGTTAATATTTAAAGACTGTCATAACGCTTAAACTCATATTTGAAACCCATCTTTTGTGCATAGGGTGGAGGTCAGGGTGGATAGATGGGTAGGCAAACCCTCTTAGCAAATAAAGTGCTAATTGCTTACTCATCATATTGTACACACAATACTATAGGTCTATTTTTGGGGAAGGAGTGGGGCTCTTTAGTTAGTATTATGCTAGGACAGGAAAGCTGTGAGAGAGAGCAGAGGAAGCCACACGGCAGATAGGCCCGGGCAGATTCCAACCAAGGTCTCTGCAAGAGTCTTACGGGCTATGGATTACCCACAGTACACAACAGACATTCAGGGTCTGCTATTTTAACCCACATCCTAATCTTTCCATATGCTCTTCATGCTTTGCCTAATTGTAATCAATGGCTCATACTCAAGCAGTATGTCTGGTATCAGACAAACATATTTACCACCTTTCACGTCTACAATAAGTCAAAAGAAGATAGCAATGAAAATACTATTGAGCGTGTAATTGTTTTCATCCTAAACAACCCTCTCTTTATAACACTATGAAATGCTGATGTAGCACTGAAACTGTTAAGTCGTTCGTCCTAAAACATTTACTCAAGTTTGTCAAATTAGCAGTTAGTTAAAGCCTTCCTTCAAACTGAGGGCCAGTGCCCCTGAAAGTGTAGCAATGAACCTTTCAAAAAGACTCAAAGCAATTGTTCTGGTGCATGAGGAGGTCAAATGGAGATCCCTAGAGATCAGAGTTGGAGGATAGGAGGGTGCTTGGCAGCATGACTTGTTTACAGGAAGCTGTTGTATGAAGAAGCCAGCCAACCAGTAGTGGAGCTGATTCCTATAGAGACAGATGAGAAGAGAGAGGGAGCATTCCTGCTGTCAGCTATTTCCTGTGGATTGTGGACTGGGCTAGAACGACGAGGCATGCATCGTTATTTTCATCCAACACAAAGAACGATTTTGCCTTGTCCTGTATACGACTCCGCCAGTGCTGCTGCTCCTCTGTGAACCATAAAACCGCAGAGCTCAAAGTAAAAACAGAACATTAGTCCCAAAATAGGAGGGAAAATGTAGAAAGTTGCATCTATTTCCTGTCATCCAAATAGTTACGTAAGGTTCAACATAAGCATCAACTCACATGTCTCGGAGAGAGACAGAGTCATCAATCGACATGCTGTTTGATCTAAAATTAGAGAAATTCTCAAATGATTTCTACAAATCACATGTCTGGCATCGAAGACTATCCTAATACGCGCGTAACTATCTAGACTGATTCACGGTGGACTAAACAATGATAAAAATATAACAAATCAGGAATCAGGGAAAAAAAAGGGACGTTGAGAAAAACATTCGGAGAACTTGAGAAATAAAATCTTTCATCTTATTCAAAATTTGACTAAGTTAAATTAGGAAACATGAATCCAGAGACACTGTCAGCTGTGTAAATATGATTTATACCTGATTAAAATATGGTGAGTTTGGAGATGATATTCACTCCACTCTCTTCTCTCTGATTTGATCTCTAACACCTTAAAGAAGCGCAGAAATAATTTCTTTAATGTCATTACCTTGTGTAACTAACTTAGAATCAATTTTAATCTGTGTAAATTTATTGTTTTCATTTTTTTTGGACTCAGAAAGCTATAATCACAGAAATGGGTCACAGAGGCCCAAGATGGACATTGCTGTGTAAACACCAAGGCGTTAGCCAACTGACTTCCTGAGGTCTGATACCATCTCTCTACACAAAATTACTGGCTGTAAACAACCACTTCTAAGAAAGCTCTAGAGTACCTTTAAAGTGCATTCAACCACATTCAATACAACTTTTCTCTTGAGATGTCAGAGCCAAGGGCAAGCTAACGGTCAACAACTGGCAACACACTTGACATCGCAGGGTGTTAAAATCTTTGGGGTTTTATGGGGTTTGGAGGCAGGACACAAAAAGGCACACTTTAGCCTGAGGTTGTTGTCCTGTTGTTGTAAAAACACAATACTTCGGTCTCCATCTTTTCCCCTCCGTGTCCACTCTTTTCACCCACACGTCCCTTTTTCAGATGTTTCTTTCTAAAGGGTCTGTTAGGAGGAACTTGGATATGTGAGGATGGAGGAAGTGTGATAATGAAAATGGGGCAAATTTGTCATTAAGCAACGTAACACAAAACAAAGCTGACTTGACTAACCCTGACGTTTATAGTGCATTTCTGAATAAGTGGAACTCTGAATTTCCAAGTTCCAATTAGGAATTTCAATCTGGAATGTCCCCTCAACTAGGATTTCCAACCTGAAACGTCAGAGCAGTCCTAGCAATCCCACTACTGAATGTAAACAGGAGTAAAACAGTAAAACCTTTCTCTAATGGCACTGTTCTGTATCCGTGACTCACTAAATAATCCATATGCAGAGCAGTGACTGACACTGAGGCTCTATCCATGAATATGCTCTAGCGGTATTTTTAAGCTCAATAAAATAAGTATTATGCTGTATTGCTAGCGACACTTGAATGCCTCTATCTTGCTAAGAATCAAAACAAATCTTGTTTTCCCGTGCCTTTTCTGGAACGTTCTCCAACATCTGAATTCCGAGGAATCTGGAACACGGCATTACATCAGGGGTGTCAAACATCAGGGAAAAGGAGAGTAGGAAACTGCTGAATAAAGCAGCAGTCTAAAGATCACATGTAGGCCTGAACCAGCCTGCAAACTATCTCAATCGAGCTCTCTGCAGAGGGGAAACCGAACAATCTCAAAAAACCCCATTAACCATTAAGCTAAATAGCACATTGAAGAGAATGGCAACCTCAACATCGAAGTTTACCGGAA